TAGCCGGAATTGAGAGGTGAGGACAAGAAGCCCCTTTGGGGTTTAGGGTTTAGGGAATATTCTGGTCTACCCAAGTCCCCAACGTACGTCACTACACAACCCCCCAGGTACACCCTCAAGCCATTCCGAATCCTCAGCTGAGTATTGTTTTTTTTGGTGGTTAGACCTAGTAAGATTATATGTTCCCTATATAAAAGACTATGCCCCAAAAGGAGGATAGTATCTTACTCTATATTGGGTAACATAATATCCCCAAATAAAATAGTACACAAATAACCCCTATATAACCCCAGCTTCCATTTCATTTTCCATTTTCTTTTCCATTTGATTCTCCATCATAGGGCCCTATACCCCTAAACCCTAGGGTACCATAATATCCCCAAATGAAATACTACTCAGCTGGTTGCCTTGCTGCTGCAACAAGACAGGCCAAGACGTGGTCTGTTGCCTTGGCTTGCACTCCGCAATTAGGGTTTAGGGTTTAGGGTTTAGGGTCTAGGGTTTAGGGTTTAGGGCAAATAAAATCGGAGCTGATTATGAAGGTTGTATTGGGATAATGGAAAAGAAAATGGAAACTACTATTTAGGGTTTTGGGTTTCTATTGGGATGATACAGGGATTATATAGGGGCCATATTGGGATAATGAAAAAGAAAATGGAAACTACAGGGATTATGAGGATTATATAGGGGTTATGGGGTATATTGGGGTTGTATTGGGATACTGGAAAAGAAAATGAGAACTACTGCAGTCGGCCTTGTCTAAACTACCGCTCACATGTGCCTTTGCAGCAGTTGCTGGCACTAGGAGCTCTTACGGACCCTGGGCATAGAGGGGAGTAAAAGAACATAGGGTCCAGGGTTTAGGGTTTAGGGCTTGGGTTTAGGGTTTAGGGTTTAGGGGTATAGGGTTTAGGGCAGCAGACTGTCCCTGTTACTGATTATAAATCGAGAAAGGAAGAACTCCCCAATCACAAGAGAGGAGTAAGGGCGGGTCAATGACAGTGACCGAGTCGTCAGTCTGCAGCAGATCCTGTCAGCATGATCTACTACGTATGCGTATGTAATACACGTACATCTTTGGTTGAGGGGTTGTATGGCGGTGTTCCCTCTTACAGCTCACACTGGCAACATGAAGCAAGGAGTGTCCGGCAGAATCGGATCGTCTGACGTTGTCACATTGAAGAAATTCAAATCCTCAGCGAGAGAGCAGACGTAGTGCAGACAGCGCTTTTGCTCACGGAGCAATCCTAACCCAGAATGCCTCGAATCGCTTCATCGGTCGCTCCGTTTTGGCAGTGACACGGTCGAAGGTCTGGGACAAAGGTAGACAAGGCATAGGGAGAGCCACAATGCGAGCCTGCTAAGTATGAATGAATGCCTTTGGACGGCATGGTTTTGGTTCTGCTTGATTCCAGTTGATCGATGCTAGAACTTGATGCAAAAGGCTCGGCTGCATGCGCAAGGAGGCAGCGAAACTAGGGAGATTGAAAAACAGATTGAGGAGGAAAGGAGAGAGAGGAGGAAGCGGAAGAAAAGGAGAAAGAGAGAAAGGGCGAGAGCAAGAGACGGAGGGAAGGAGTGAGGTAAAGGAAAGAGGGAGAGGCTGATAGACAGCCAGCAAGAGGCAGTAAACGTCCTGGCGGAATTGCTTGGCTCTTCGCTATCAGCAAGATTCGGGAACAGGTCTGACCACGAGCCCAGTCGTGCCATGTCATGCCATCTTTGGCTTGGTTCAAGATCTAGATCTAGCTTGTGGCCAACATCACGCACAAGAAGATTGCTGCAAGGATATCTAGAATGCTCTGCACACTCATTGATCTCACTGCTCGCTGCAAGGATATCGCAACCTGCAGCCAGGCCTTGCAATAAGTCGGCAGGTTGCCAGCCCAATGCACGTCTTCGAACTCCACCAGCTGCGCAAGGTCACAGATGGGATGCTGGAAAGGATGACACCATGGAAGAGCCAAGGGGAGCGTGAGATGGCTCATGAAGGCCGAGAAGTTGTTTCGAGATCGGGAGACCAAAGTCCGTCGGAACGCAAGACTGACAACACACCTTGGCGTCGATCTGCAGCTTGGCCTCAGAGAGAGAACCAGCAGAATGTGCACCATCAGCCCATCCCAATTCCTACACATCCACATCCTAAACCCTAAACCCTAAACCCCTAAACCCCTAAACCCTAAACCCCTAAACCCTAAACCCTAAACCTTAAACCCTTAACCCCTAAACCCTTGCATCCAAGGAGCTAGAGAAGCAAGCATGATCTCTCTCATGAGAGACCATTCTGGCCGGGTTTGCACGGACCACTCCTGACAGCAAGGGACTCACCCTTTAGGGTTTAGGGTTTAGGTGCAGGCGGTGACGTGAAGTGGCACTTTGCACACGTCCCTTGAGCCTTGAAGGACGGCATGCCCCTGCGAGTAGCAGCGGTCTTCTTGCCTTTTCCTTTTGCTTGATTCTGGTTTGCCTGCCGGGTTGGAGCTGTCTCACTCTATCTGTGAGTCGCAGGACAAGCAAAGTCATGTCCAGTCCTGGTAGTATGGCTTTTGCTTCTGGCCCAAGATACCTTCTTGGTAGTTGGCTTGGATGCCCTTGCCTGACACGCGCACTTGCACTGTACACTTCATCAAAACCGGATGCTTCACATGAGCTATAGTCTAAACTCCTAGTATCCCCCTTAATATCCCCTATAGTAGTCCCCTATATATTCCCCTATGACATCCCCCTTTAAGGAGTTTAGACTATAGCTCATATGGCTTCAAAGTCAAACGCTTGCATGTCTGAGCTGAAGGCCTTTTCCTTTACCCTTCATTCCTGGCAACACGGCTTTGAGCACGACCATGACGTGCTCAGTTTCGGGCTGAAGGTTTTGGTGGTTTGCTGCTAAGGAACTTAAGATAAGTTACCCTTATATGAGCATGTATCGTAAGTCATAGGGCCTCAATATTCATAATGTTGCTACTATCATTCTTCTATTAATACTTTTGTTCTTACTATACTAGCTTGATTTAAGTTCCTGAACAACAATTCTGGTCAGGGTAGCCCTAAACCCTAAACCCTAAACCCTAAAGCGCCTGAAGCTCGCCCTCTGCCAGATGACTTACCCGGAATGGGGCGGTTGTCAACCAGCGAGAACCCCTCCTCATCTTTACCTCCACAAGGATGCGGCCACGAAATCCAAGCAAAGTCAGCTGAAATCATGTTCTTTATGTAACATATGATACCCAAATGAAGGATGTAATCTTACTCTATATTGGGTAACATAATATATTATACTATAACATAACTTAATATACTATAATCTATGCCAACTAAAATACTACTCAGCTGTTTCAGCTGGCCTGGCTGTAGAGCTTGGATAGGGCCTTTGCCCTGCAATGATGCCAAGGGCAGGGGCCAGCTGTAGCTTTGCAGGCAAACATGCACCGCAACAACACCAAATGTACATGAGTCATTGTCTAAACTCCTGGTATCCCCCTTAGTAACCCTAATAGTAGTCCCCTATATACTCCCCTACATAACCCCCCCCTTTTAGGGAGTTTAGATTATGGCTCACATGTGCTGTTCTCACAATTATGGGCCCTTTTGGTTTTAGATTCTATTACGGCATCTAATATTTAGGGGTACCAAAAAGGGACCCTAATTTCGGGAACTACCCACATGCTCAACTTGCCTTGGCAAATCCCTTGGCACCTTTGCCCTTGTTCCTCTCTGCCTCGGACGGGCGGCTTACCAAGTACACATGACATACCAAACTTCACGTGCGTGCCTGGTAGCGCTGTCCGGAGGCAGTGAAGTCACACACTCGGCCGATTCGCGTCACAGGGAATTTTTCCAAGTGGTCTACCTTGGGAGTTTGGAGCAAGAATATACGATAATCTACTATAACATACTATAATATGTTCCGATATACTACAGTATACTGTTTTATGCTATAATATACTATAGTACATTCTAATATACTACAGTATACTATACTATACTATAATTTACTACGGTATACTGCAGCGGCCTGGGCACCGGGCAAAATCACCGATTCCCAAAGGGGTCTCGAGTTCACCCTGTGGCGGTGGGCCCCAGCCATCAATGTAGCTGCTGACCTCTTGTCCATCACATGACTAGCGTTTTTTGGTGGTCGAACCTAATAAGATTACATTCCTTACATAAAATACTATACCCCAAAAGGAGGATATAATCTTACTCTAAATTGGGTACCATAGTATCCCCAAATAAGATACTACTCACATGAGGAATTAACAGGGCTTGAAGCAGTGAATGCAGCGCAGCTGGGGCTGTTGTAAGCATCCTTCTGAGTTGCTGTTCAGGAACGTAAATTAGGTTTCTAAAACCCAGCTATTTGGGGGTTTCCCAAAATCAGGGGTACCTTCTTGGGGGTCCCCAGAATAAGGACTATAGTATTTTGGGGTCTATGTTGGGGTCCCCTTAATTTGGGAAACTACCATTTATATGATATAACCTTATTATGGTAACTGAACATAAGTTCTTTAACAGCACCCCAGTTTTGTCAGCACGCTGGAGGCCTGAGGCAGCACAAAATCCACCATCTCGTCGGCTCTGGGGACCTGAGCAAACATCGACTGTGCTCTTTCCTCTAAGGGATTTGGAACCTCAGTAGAAATTATAGTTTCAGCTAA